TGTCAGAATTCTATTTGAATTTAACCCAGTCAATGATCAGCTCTTCTCTCTCTCTCTCTCTCTCTCTCTCTCACACACACACACACACACACACACACACACACACTGAATAGGACAAGATCTTGAACAGGAGTAAATCTGCAAGGCTTCATCAATGTCATGTTGATTTACACAAGCCTTAAGCAAGACCCATTATTTCAACACATTTAAATCACTCGAGCACTACAAGAGTTTGATAGCCGAGTATTAGAATGACTCACAACAAGAGTTTTCTGCTCACAGCAGGCCTGTAGCATACATGCTTCATAATTGCTAGCTTATTCTTTGCATGTTAGGGGCAGATTTGAATTTAGAAGAGTGTTTAAGTCCCACAGCCTAGTCATGCGTTGCATTACTATGCTGCAGAGATGGCTCAGTCAATATGGGCACAGTCTGCGCAGGAGACAGTAAGAATGAACTATGCTCCATCTATTCTAACATAGTATGTTCCTGGCCACTGTCCTTAATCTCAAATTCATTGAAGAGGCAAACTGACCACAGCAACTCACTGGCCACACAAACTACACAGATTATCTTTTGAGACTCTTAACCTGGTGGAACATGCAAACAGCTCGTGCTATTGGAGAAATAATCGAAAAGATATTTCTGTTGCACTGTTAAAATAGGCACGGATATGTAAAACTCAGTGTGCTATATTGCACTCATGTCATGCTTGTGGGCCTCTCATAGACACCTGGTTGGCCACTGTGAATAAGGAATGCTAGACTCCACAGACCTTTGGTCTCATCCAGCAGGGCTTTTCTTATGAGACAAGAACCCCATAATTTATTAATTGTCTAATCATGTGCTACTCTTACAACATTAATTCAGCCAATCTAATCATACCTTAAGAAACATGAGAACTAAACATTCTAGTTAGTACTTCTTGGACCACTTAATCTATGAAATTTGCTTTGATTGATGGTGAGGAAGTGGTAAGGTACCTCCAATCTACTTGATGATACAGAAATAACTACTCAAAGAAGGGGTACCCAAAAATCACACAAATCAATGGTGTTACTAGGAAAGAAGAAAAGTCCCTATGCATCAATTAGAATAAATCATGAAAAAACTTTAAAATGCATTTTAATGCACATTTAATTAGTTTAATGCACATTTAATTAGTTTAGTTAAATGTTTGTTTCGCTTATGTTCAAATTCAGTGGAAATCTAGAGAAAGGACATAGCTGTCAACTTTTCCCTTTTCTTGCGAGGAATCCTATTCAGAATAAGGGAATTTCCCTTTAAAAAAGGGAAACGTTGACAGCTATGAGAAAGGAAGAAGGTGGAGAGGTCAAGGGAATTCTGCAAAAAAAAAAACAACAATCTGGAGTAAGAAGCCATCAATTTCTGCTCCAACCAATGCTTGTTGCATGCAGCACTGTTTCCATTCTGCTGCAGTTCAGCTTCTAACGAACACTACATTATTGTGCTTGCTGTTCACTGTGGCTGAATTTTATGTAATTAAGTTATTATTACATTCATTTCAATACAAATACCATTAATTTCAGTGCAAAGGAAACAATGCAAATTGGGGGAAGGGAACATCAATTATTTATCATTTGCAGACTGAAAGCAACAGCGAAGACCAGTCATATGTACCAGTCGCTGGATTGATTTCCTCTCCAAACATGGGATGAATTAAGTGTACACCAGCAATTTCTGCTACCATTTCAGTCAGACATCTCTGACATCCCTAGCCTGGAGCTGCTTTTAAAAGAATACATTCTTAAGTCAGTTCTGCCTTAAGTGATTGTGCACTAACTCAATGAACCTAATGGCATAACCAGGCATATCAAAACTACTAGGCAAATTTATGCTTAAGTTTAAAACAAACAACAGTTCACCTCAAAATGTGAACCAAGTAGCATTTATTAATAACAAAAATAAACATTTTGACAATACCCCACCCCCTGGCACTGTTTTCAAATCAATGCACGTCTATGAAATTCTGAATAAGAAACTTAACAAGGAAAGGAATCAATCCAAGAGAAATCAATACTATTGTGTCACAGAAAATTGACGTCTTGCATCTACACTGGTTAAATAGATTCTTACTGAACCAAACAACGCTGCTTGTTCTTCCAGCAATTTTTACGTGGTTTATTGTGGCTTCCAGGAAGTTTTTCTCAGTTAAATACAACAACTATGATGCAGCAACCCTAAACATGCTTACTGGGAAGAAAACCCCTATTGACTGTAGTGGAACTTACTTTTGATTAACATGCACAGTTAATTTATGGCTCCTCCCTGAAATCAGTAACCTACAAGCCCCCAAAATTATGTAATGCTATCAGTAGCAAAAACTTATTTCTTTGCCCATAAGAATAATTCTACTGATTCCAGCAGATCTATTCACATGATTATTTAGGTTATTAATTTTTAACTTTAAAATGGAAAGTTAACCAGGATTTAGGCATGTAATTCACACCAAAGCCATTAAAAATTGTATGGCTAAATCCAGTTCAACTGTGAACATGATTAGTGTCAATCCCATTTTAATTCTGTCTGGAAACTAATAAATCAGTGAAAAGCTTCCCTTCTACCATTACAACTCGGGGGTGGGGGCAGGAGCAGACCCCAATTTTCTACAGCTTTCTGAAGGCCAATCTATAACAACAAAGCTAGATGAGATCAAGCTGGAGATCAGGGCTAAGAATACTAATTAAATTCAACACCCACAAAATGTGGTTATGAAAAAAGCATATTAAGGGCTGAGCCTCAAACATATTCATGGGGTAGTGTTCCTCTTTCCATTCCAATTTGCACAGGCAATGTATGTTACAGAAAAGAAACCACAAAGAACATGGGCGCATTATTTTCTTTCCCCCTCTATAAAGGTGGATAAACCTTCGCAGTCTCCTAGCAGTTTTCTTACAGACAGAAAACAGGAGCATGTGCTAATTTAACACCATTTCTTTCTTATTTATTCATGTAGGAGACCAATTTATTTCCAATGAACAAATCTGTTCCAATAATTAATTATTAATGTTAGACAGCCATCAAATACACAACATCTCTGGATGAGTATCTTGCAAAGAGGCAGGCAGGCAGGTAGCACACATTCAGCCCAAGGACTGTGGTCCAAAGTGCTTCTTTCTATAATCCTAAATATGTTTCACTGAAGTTTCTGACCCACATCCTTCTCCCTGGAAAATTCAGCCAGGAAGGAAATGTAATAATACCCAATTCCCTGTGTTATTTTGCAAACACAAGTAAGAGAGAGATCACCCAAGCGTGAAGAGTCATTAAAATAGATCTTACATATATCATTATAAATTTAATAATCTCCATGACGGCTAGAGTTCAAGTTAAAATGAATGTCAGCTAAGCATGACCAATTGATGTTATCCCAGCTGCCACCGAGCCTCACTTGGGGTTATATTATACTTTCAGAGGCCCCATTTTACATGTGCACCAAACACCCAGAGCCAAGAGCAGATGGAAGATGTGGGCCTCCATACTTATCAGAGTTTCAGTCAAAACCGCATATTAATATTAGTAAACCAGCTCTACAGTATCTTATTGTCAAGAACACCAAATGTTTGTCTCATAGAGCACAAGCCTTGTATACAGCAGGGCTTTAAAATATATTGAAGGCCTCTAGAAATTAAGTCGATAAGAGGAATTTTCTTTCAGTGTCTATTGATTGTTATTTCCACCTCCGAATGGGGTTGTGAAAATGGGAGAATGAAGGGTCCTTGTCGCCTTCAGCTGATATAGCAAACAGGAGAGAGGGAGGGAGGGAGATTCTTTGGGGAAGGCTCCCTAAGCAAACAACTGAATTTTCATCTTGTTGAGAGAGAGAGAGAGAGAGAGAGAGAGAGAGAGAGAGAGAGCGCTATCCAAGCTGGTTTTATTTCCAGTGGAAAGTAAGTTTTATTCTTCAACAGACTCAGCAAAAGAAAATCAAGACACATAATCCTTCTTGTTTCACTGTATCGCTGGCATTATTGAAAAGGAGAAGTAAAGCTTGATGCTCAATTTACAGCTCAGGCATATTTCAACAATTTTCTCAAAGCGATGCATTTAAGTCACAATGAAAAAAAGGGATCTCCAGAGGAACCAGAATACATTAGTGTACCACCAACTAATCCCTGTGGACTTATGTAGCAACAACACATCACAATTTGAACCAGTAAATTAAGTTTAAAATTCAGTTGCTCACTACTTTCAATTACTACTGATGAATGACAACACTATATTGGATATAGAGTCACATATCAATGAAAAACCCAAGGCATAGTTTTCATCAAACTCTTGCTGGCCAATGAAAAGCATACAATTATTTAAGTATACTGTCACTTTTCTCAAACACATGAGACACCAGGAAACATATAGAGACCATCTTGCAAATCCACGGGTACCAAATATTCCATTAAGGTTGCAATCCAACACTCACTTACCTGGGAGTAAATCCTACTGAAGACGGAAGAACTTACTCCTATGTAAACATGCATAGGATTGCACTACATGACTATTCATTTAAGATCTTACATAGAAAACAGTCCTTTATGCATTTTTATTTTTTATAAAACCACAGCACCCACCAACAAATGAAATAGTAAGTTAGCTTTATCTTCCTCACTAGTGTCACCACGTGACAGCAGACTCATTATAATAACTAATCATTTTCCTGCTTCTTATTTTCCTATTGCTCTTTCAAAAACAGCTAGATGCTTCCCAGTTCTTTGCTGCTCCCTTACCACTCAGTGCCAGCCAATTAAACTAGATCAATGTTCAATGTTCAACCTAAGAAAGCTCATCCACCACCAGCTACAACACTGAAAATCTGCGCTGAATACAAAAATTGTAAGTGGCATTTGAACTCCCTGAATCATGCTCAGCAATTTAAGCACAAAATGCCAGTGGTGAAGTCTTGTCACTTACTCTTTTTTGATCTTCCAGTCCATGTGTCACAGGCTTTCTTTTCTGATGCTGGCTAGACTCTGATCCAGATTCCATTTCCCAGTAACAAATATCCTGCGTGTCTCCTGAAGCTTTTTCCTCAAAATCCACAGTATGAATAAGAAAACATTAATGTGAAACGAAAAATAGAGAGAACCTTCAAATCTCTTCCTTGTTTTTTATAATCCTTTCAGATCTCTGGTTTGCCATCTCTGCTAATTATCTTAACAGACAAGCACTGTAAGCCCTTTATTCCCTATTTTAGCTCAGATGTAGAAATCCATTGATGTGCGTTATAGGGAGTTGGCAGAGCTGAATCCATATTTAACAGTCTGTGCCACATCATTGCTTCACCAGCATCTTCCTTGTTGCTCCACCAGCATTCTTGGCATGGATAATATATGTGTCAATAAAGGTGTAAATGTGCATTTAATCCACTGTGTTGATATTATCAGCATCCCTCTCCTAGGCCACCTTCCTCCCATAAATCAGTGTAAACACTTCACAATGATAATTGCCTTTTGCAAATCTAGCAAGTGTAAATTACATAAAATCATCCATGCAACGGTGTCATCGTCATCGTCTTCTTCCACACAAGCAAAGGCCTAAAAGGGGGGAAACACATATTTTATCTGTTTGACAGATGAAAGGATCTTTATTACATTAGCAGCTAAAATGTGTGATAAAATCAGAGCTTTGCACATATAACACTTCTTATGCACATGGTTAAGAACACACTGTTGCTAAAATAATGGGTAAAATGTAGTATCAGATGAGCCGACTTGTGCAACAGGGCATCCCTTTCCTCTCCTCTCCCCCTGAAATCCCCTCTAAAATCTGCTCCAAAGTCTGCCCAACTCTCAGAAGCAGTTTTTTTTTTGGGGGGGGGTACATAGGGGACTGCAGGGGGAAAGAGAGGAAGGGGAAGTCCCACTGCATGAGTGAAAGTCAATTCTCCTCACATACATATACCACTGGATGTCTCCCAATATGTAGGTCCTCCTTATTTTGGCATTTAATTTAACAGAAATGAAATCAATGTTGCTTTACAAGAGTAGTTTAATGTGCTCCAACATTCTTTCTATATACTTTCACTGTCATCTAAATTTCTTACTCTGTTTCAGCCAAATATAGCCATCTGTGAAAGGCACATGGAAAGCAATAACATATTTTGTGTAATAATCACGAGGTAAGTTAATGTTCAAGACTGGACAGTTCCTGGCTCTACCTCTGCAACAAAGGAGTCCAAGAAAGACACAAACACATTATCCATAAGTCACTTACTCAGTGAAAGAAAAACAAAGTTACTATCATCTAAAAACTGTATTTTTAAACAACTCATTCCCTATTCTAATTTTAAAAAATGATTAGTTGAGACCCTGCAGTATATAATCATGTGTCACCTCAAAGGAAAATTTGAAAGGCCAAATTGTAATATTTATTTAGGTGGGGTGCCTTGTTGTCTAATTGGTTCTTTATCTAAACACAAAAATGAAAATGGGTCCCATAAGGAATTATTTACAAAGAAGTCTAGATAAAGAGCAACAAAGTCTCCTTTTTTGCCATACAGTCTCCTTTTTTGCCATACAATTACAATTCAACTCTACCTGTCACTGTCCACCTGTCAAACTTTGCCTGCAGGGGAAATAAGGCTCCAGCCCACCAGACAGATTCAGTTCCCCAACCCTTTTCTACCAAGTGGTTGTCATAATTTCACCAGTCTTCTGCATCTCTTCAAAAATCTCCAAGGAAGCAGTAATCTAGTAAAATTCTCCGCAGCTCTTGGATACACATACAGGTTGTCTTGTATTTACTCTGAAGGAACTGCTCTTTATGAGTCGCTGATTTATTCTATTTGGTTCATTCACTCTTTCTCAATCTACATAACACAGGGCTACAACTAATCCCTATATTGCTGGTCACACTTACATTGTTTCCCCATCCTCACTACTGGCAATCAATTATTTGAGGCAGGGTTAGTGAAACACATAATGAAGGCCACAGAACAACATGGGTAACCTTGCCTAAGCATTATGAGTTCTTCCCATAGAGCTGTCATTTGTTGAATGTATCTAGTTCTAGCAAGCAACTACCATATATAGACTACTACAGCACTGTTCATGCCATCTGACTGAATACACTCAGCTGAAAAGAGAATGTGGCAGAAAGACTCTGTCCCATGCACATTGTTGCTCATATAAACAGACCAAATGTGTTTCCAAAAACAGCAAGCTTGTAGGCTTGTCCATGTGGATCTGGACCCTGCTTTTCAGGTTCCTTGATCCTGCATACAGAGAATTCATTTGTATTTACACTGAGCCTATTCACACAACTGGCTCAATGCACAGAATGCTGCTCCCATACTGCCCCCTTCTTCCATTGGGTGCAATCAGCTTACCCAGAGTGATGTGTCAACAATGGTTAGGTGCAACAGGAATAGAACCCCTTTTGACTTCTAACATAACTTTTAAAGGTTTCCATGCTTTAGAAGTTATGTTAGAAATAACCCACTGTCTTCAGATTATTGGTGTTTGAAAGTATGGGACATATTTACAGGGCCTTTTTATTAAACACTGGAATGGTAAGAGTATGTTATATAAATCAGCATTTAATACGGAGATAGTTCTAGTGCCAACATACTGTTGGTGAGACAAATTTCTATTTATGATTAAATATCACACTGCCGATACACTGTTAGTGTATTTCACCTCCTCTTTATTTTAATTATCGTAACTATTTCTTCTTTTCATGACCTACAGGAAAAGTGACATGCTTGTGCAATTGCTACTTTGCATATTTCGTTTGTCTGTTATTATGGGGGAAACAGGTTTCCATGGAAAAGTTTTTTTTAAAAAAGTTTTTCAAAAACCACTAAAACTCAAATGTAATTAAAAAAAGGCAAATGTTGGCATGTGCAGCTTTTTGCTCCCGGAAGCTCTATTGCATGCTGGCTTATTGCTGACCAGGAGCAGCAGGGCTGAATGAACCAGCAGATGCACCAATAAATCTGAAGCCCTGCCACACACCCTGCCCATCAACCACACTGACTGGGGCTCAATGAAACTGCTGGTCTTTGGCTGGACTAGCTTCAGGCTGGCACAGTGGAAAGGCCTGGATTGGAACCATCACTGGTAGAACCTATGGCCAGCCCCGAAACACCACACTTCAGAGGTTTGTGGCAGTTACTGCTGCTGAGTAAACTGATGGTAGTAGCTTCCACCTGTGTTTTTGGTGAGCATAGTGGTGACCTGCATGGTGGCAGACCTCCCACTGTCAGAGCCTGGTGGAGCCGAGTGGATGTAAACCTCTCATCCTCATTCAGCTCCCTCCCACAGCACATCAGATTGAGTGGTAGGATTTGCTCCACCCACCAAACCTAATGAAACCCCTTCTACACAACTAGCAAATGTTATGGAAGTGGCTTCATCCAGCTGTGACTCTGAACCTCCACTCATGCAAAGCAGAGCACCCAATTTTTGCCAATGACTTCCTAATCATGACAGCCTCCCCATGGCTACTGAAAGCTGGCCCTGAAAATTAGATGACCCTCTGGAACAGTATCAATATGGTATGGAAGACTGAAGTAGGGAGGACTGATGAATATCAGGCATCTTGCCTTCTGAGATTGCAAGGACTTTCTACTAGTACAAAGCCAACATTGGACCCAACCCCATTTGTCACACTATCAGGAAAGGAGCTATACGTTAGGGTCGCTGTGGGAAATACCAGCACCACACAATGGTGAAGCTGCATGCTCCGGCACTGGGGGCGGATGGCAGGCAGGGGTGTGGCACGTTGCCCATGGGGGCATGGTGTGCGTCCTGGGGGCCTGGCATCTGGTGCATGGGGGGTGCATGGTGTGTGTCCAGGGGGGCGACCGCAATGGTACCCCCTCCCCGATGGTGCCAGGAGTGGTGCGCTCCCCCCGTTCCTCCGCCAGTGGCACCACACCAGTGTCTACTACAGCCAATGCATCACGCATGGAAATAAATGTGTGAGTGGCTGCCCTCATTTCCCCAGATGTGTCTACACAGATCTATGCACACATATTTTATTTGCACACTACATGCTTTTCCCTTTAAAAAAAAGTGGTGGTGCAAAATCAACATTTCCCATAGCAAGGTTCTCTGGCAGCAATATATACATGTAGCAAGATGGCAGCGTATTGCTTTAGCTTAACTGCACCGTTACAGGCACAAGCTTACTTTGTGGAAAAATTACTAAAACAATGGAGAAAAACTTTTTTTCGCCCTTCAGCGATTTCACCATGATGTGGCACACGAGACTGCATCAGTCACATCACGTTATACCATGCTGCAATAGCATGACATAACCAGTGCAAGTAAGGACAGTGTGAACGATCCTCTGAAGCAGAAAAAGTGCAATCTCTCCCTCAATGTCCCTTTGTATTAAAATTTCCAGAATTTTTTTTATTACTTCTACACCCTTCAGATTAATCTCAGGACATGCATGAGTAGAAATTGGAGTTTGCAGGGAAGCCTTAGGGTGATGCTCACAGCCCTTTGTACAAAAAATAAATCTATGGAGTTGAAAAACTTTTTTTAAAAAAACTTTTACTACCAACTGGGGAGACAGATCCATAGCTAAATGCTTTTAAAAGATCCCAATTATTTGCAATATACACAGTGATTTGTTTTATCTTCCCAGGAAACAAAGCTTGTTTTGTTAATGATGTAAGAGGTTAGTTTGGCATGCTAAAGATTGAAGAGGAAAATCAAAGAGAAACTAATGGCACTTCAAACAAAATTTTGACTATTTCAAGACCGCCTTTCTATCGCCATCAAAAGCAACAATTTGATGTCACATCGCCTCTATATTTTTATGTCATCAACTTACTAGAGCCTCTCATTTGTGATGGTCAAAGGAGTTTTCCTCCATTTTATCCCTGTGCAGTATGTTAAGCTGAGAAACTGATTGGCCCAAGAACAACTAGCTGAACTTAGGTTTCCCTAGTCAAGAAATCTATCCACTATATCACATTAGCCCTAAATACAAATCTGAAACATTGGCTATCTCACAAAATTATATTGAGGCTAGATAATAAAACCCTGAAAATGTGTTCAAGTGAAGCACCAGATGCTCTACAAGTTGAGCAAGATTGATCCGTGTAGGAACTTTTCTGGTTCCCAATTAAATGCTATACTTAGAATATATCTGCATTTCAGAGGTTGGGTGCAAATCATAGCACACTTCTGATTCCCACCAGCCATCAATACCAGGTCATTCAAACCCTGCTAGTACATAGCAACTGGTCACTGCAGACTCCATACAGGTGGTAGAAAGCTGTAGCTTGCCAGGGATAAAAGGCATATGCCGTTTCCCTTAGAAGGCTCCCAAATTTCTTTGTGGCTGACAGCATACCACTCCAGGAACACAGACAGTTGTTGTGCCATACACTAATAGAGTGCTACAGGGTCAGGAATCAACAACCACATTGGCAGAGGCTACCCAGTACATTCATGAACTTTCCAAGTACACAGAGGACCATGTGAGCTCTCTCCCTCTCTCTCTCATTCTCTTTGGCCTAGAATCCTAACAGTCAAACAATACAGTCTACCCCCTGAAGCAAAAAAGAATTAAAAATAACCTTATCTACTTCAAGTTAGAATAACCTTTCAAGAGATTTCAGCCTAGAAATATAATGTTCGGATGATTAGCAACTAGAAAAAGAGAGGAAATGTACTAGTATGCCCTTCTATCATAAACCTTCTTAAAATGCTGTAGAATCAAGAATCAGTATAACGTTAAATACAACAAAGAGACAAAAACCAAGATAAATCATCTTCCTTTAGGTTACAAATGAGCCTGTTTTTGTATAGATGCCTCAAACAGGAGTCAACCATGAGCAGTGCATTCTCCCTCCCTCCCTCCTTCCACCCCAACCCCTGGTCCCCATCATTCAGTAATATGCCTTTATGTGCAAAGCAAGAGTTCAGACAGGATGTTTATACGAACCTGTGTTAGGTGAACTTGAGAATGTGCTCTTGCATTAGTCCAGCGTTCTTTACAAGAATCCCAACAACCAGCAGGCACTGGCTGGTCCAGCAGAAATAGCCCAGTGGTGTACCAAAGGACCACCACAATTCACCTCCTGCCAAACCTTGATATAGCAATCTTGCCTGCTAAACAATACTTAGTAGGAGGTATCTAGGAAAAAAATATCCAGGCCTTCTCTCTTGACTAACCTCATAAAAACAAATAAACACACGCCTTATAGGATTCAGAGACCATGCTTAATTTGCTGGATGCTCTTTTCACAAATACACAAAAAACTAATAACCAACCTGGGTAAAAGAAACCAGGACTGGCATACAGGAGCTACCGATGTGGTTAAAAGAGCTTCAGAAACATCGATGAACCAGCCTTCCCTCATTTACCTTCTTGTGCCAAGGGAGGAAGGCAAAAGGGTACCAGTTCTCCCCTCACCTTTGCCTGCAAGGCGAAGACAGGCAGAGGGAGGCAAAGAAGCGCCACCAGCTCCGCGGCGGGCAGGAATAGAGATGATACCAGCTGAGGAGGAGCTGCTGCTGGCAAGCACCCGGCGCCTCCCGAGCTACCGCGCACACCATCTACCTCGCCGGCGCTGACGACTGCTTGGCTGGCTCCTTCGGAAGCCCCGCTCAGCTCCTTCTCCCCGGCGAGGCGGCGGCTGTTGTTGCCCTTTTCACGCAGGGAGCAGCAGCCCCAGCTGAGGAAACGCCGGCAGCCAGGAGCGGCGCCTGTCCCTGCGCCCCGCCTCCTCTTCTTCCCGCCACCTCCTCTTCGCGCCTGACGGGGAGCGGCCGAGGACGGCGCTTCTGGGCTCTTGGAGAGGCTGCCCCGCCACTTCCACGGGAGCTCACGAGCGCAGCCGGAGCCTAGTTCCCGGCGCTGCTCGGGGAGGGGTACTTATTATTTTATTATTAATAGGAATAATACTAACAGTAGCAGTAGCAGTAGCAGTAGTAGTAGTAGTAGTAGTATCCCTCATCTGGGAAGCGGGGCAGCCGGCAGCAGATGGGACTGACAGCAGGTTGCTTTGCCGGAGACCGCCAACAAACCGCGCGCGAGGGCAGCCCCTGCTGGGAAGCGACCCACCCACCGCTTTCCCTCAAGCCACGGCTTAAAACTTTCGCATTCTTCCGCAAGAGCCGGCAAAGAGAGCCTCTCCGGAGACTAGAAGCCGAGCCTTACCTGCGTCTCCGGGCTCGCGTTCCTCCAGAGATGTTCCCTCAGTCCCCCTCTCTTTGCCCCGCCGCTGCGCCCCTGGAGCCTCCATAACCCCCGGGGTGACGAGGGCCACTATCCTTCCGCGGCGAGCGGGGGCGCTCTTTTAGAGCCGAGGCTGCCGGCGGGGCGGGGGGGGGTCCTCCTTACTCTTCCCGGTTACCTTAGCAACCAGCTAGCCAACCAGCCCAACCCTCTGGGTGCGCACGTGCGCGCAAGGCGGCCAATGGCGAGGGAGCGGGGCGCACTCCGGTAATTGAAGAGCCACTTTCAAGTCGGAGGAGGAGGATCTGGGAAGCGCGCGCGCCGGCGGAGGGTGGAAGGGAGTTGAGGGCGCTGCTGCGATGGGTGAAGGGAGGGCGCATGTAGGGAAATAAGTTGCTTTCTCCAAGGGAGGAAATAAGTTACTCTCAGCTAAAGGCGGGTATCCTCAGGAGTAAGTCCCGCCGAACTCTGCGTAACTTGCTTCCCTCATTAAATACGCGCGGGCATCGCGCTGCAGGAATAAGGAGCTCGAGGAGGGGGAGGCAACCAAATTAAAGAAGGATTTATTTTTCTTTTACTGTAATTTTATTGGTAGCTTATTTTTGCTTGGGGACTGAGGAGCTGTTACTGGGCAGCACGTATGCGTCGGAAAGGTGTGCCGATCCGAGGTAAAAGGAAAAGAAGTAATGAGTTTTTACGCACCCGATCAAAGCAACTACGGGGCAGCCTCTTACTTGGCAGGAGTCGCTCTTTCGAACCAGCACAGACTGGGGAGGGACAGAAAGCTTATTCTGATTTTAATTTAAGGGGAAACCTGGGTGGCAACTCCAGATCAAAGATCATTGCCTGCCAATGGCGAGCCACACGAGACTACAGCGCCCTTCTGTGGGCTTAAGCGGGCAATGCAACCACAGCTTCCCTCTCCTAATTTCTGGTTGTTGCCCTTGGCCTTGGAGTAATTGTATGGCTGGGCTTGCCTGCCTTTTGCTTGAATACATACAGCTGTGTCCCACTGAATGAACCTATGAATGCTTCCAGGAGGGAGAGTTGCTAAGTTTTCTTCAGTAGGCATGAGGTCTAGCCAAATAGTTTGATCAGTGGAGCTGACAAGTCTAATATGGAAGGACAGAGAGAGACATCAGAAAGGATTCTGTTGATGGGGTGGTGTGCACAAATTGGTTGGACTCCAGCTCACACCAGCCTAGCCAACATAGCCAAAGCTCAGGGATGATAGTAGTTGTCCAGATACCACTGAACACAGTATTTTTCTGGAGTGGCTTCAGGAGGTGAGGTTGGGAGTACTGTACTTCAGTGGTTCCAGTCATTTCCAGAAAGTAGTTTTGGAGCAAGGGGTTCAGTACTATGGAAACTTTCGTGTCCTCCAGGGTTCTTTTTGGTGAGGGGCATGCTGTAAAACAACTCCATGAAGTATTTGGGAGCTGTCACCAGGAGTCTTGGAGTGAAGTGTCCACAATATGCAAATGACACACAGCTCTATCTCTCTGTTTCTTCTGAAGCAGGAGACATGGCTGAGGTGCTAGATAGGTGTCTGAAGGCGGTGGTGGGCTGGATGTGGTCCAACAAATTGAAGTTGAATCCTGGAAAGACAGAGCTGTTGTGTTTTCCAGGTTATTGAGTCTTCTAGGAGATGAGAATATTACCCATTCTGAATGGGGTTGCACTTTCTTGGATGAAGCGGGTTCATAGCTTGTGGGTACTCCTGGATCCAGTATTGTTACTCGACACCCAGGTAGCCACAGTGGCTAGGACTAGGAGTACCTGCTTCCAGCACTGGCTGGCCCACCAGCTACTGCCCTATTTAGAAACAGATGACTTGGCCACAGTATTCCAGATTGGCTTATTGCTCTGCACTTATTGCTATGTGGGGCTGCCCTTGAAGACGACTCAGAAACTTTAACTGGACCAAAGTGCAGCCGTCAGAATCCAGACTTGGGTTGCCTTTAGAACTGAAACAACCCCAAGTAGTTGTCAGTTAGCTTCTGGGCCCAGTCTAAGGTGCTTGCACTAGTGTTTAAATAACTTAGGCCCCAAATATCACAGAGGTGCCCTATACACTACTGAAGACACACCTCTTTATCCTGGTCATTGTCACCTGAGATGTGTGCTTTCAGCACCCAGCCTATTCCTGTGACTGTAATTTAACTGTTTTTAATACTGAATTTTAAGTTGTCATCTGCCTTGGGACCTGCTGACAAAGGGCAAGTAATAATCTTGATGATGATAACACAGTTAATGCGATATGGGGCTCAACCAAAAAATGACATTATTTTCTTTTACCCACATAGAGAAGGAGATGCAGCCATTTCCCACCTCCAGGGGACAGGTCCACGGTGTATACGCCTGTGCTTAAAAGATCCCACTGCGAGGGAAGAGGGAAGTCCTCCAGGGTCCTCAGTCTGGAAGAATTTTACTCTGAATTCTCCAGTAGCTAATATTGGCATATTCTAGGCTCCCAAAACCAAGTAACAATTTGCATATTATGCCAATCAAACTGCTAATTATACATATCAGTTGCAATACATTAGCATACCTAATTTGTATAATTTCCAACAGGTGCATCACTTCAATGTATTCTGTGTATGTACTTTTTTTGAATCTGCTTCCCCCCTCCTCCCACTGTCAGAGCAGTAGAGCTTCTCGCTTTATCTCCATTTCTGCTCTATACTCTGTCCCTGCCATCCCTATATTGCCATCTGATTTCAAAGGTACAAAGTGGCTCGTGCAAAATCTATTAAAATGGCCTTCTAAACATCCTGCAGAATTCAATAAAAAATCCCATAATAGCCACAGCAGCAGCATTGATAGCAGCTGAAAATTAGTGCAGTGCTGAACTGGGGTGTCAAACATTTCTGTACTCCTTGAAATGGGCTGCCCCCATTTTGTGGCTGGACTAGAAGTGGGACCCTTATCAGCCATATGACAATCTTGGTTCAATTCCTAATCCCAATAGCAAACTATGTGGTGGAGTATCAGTGCTCACCTGACCTCCCAACAGTTGAGTCACTGCTGCTTACTGGGAAGGGAAGGGGCAGCCATCTCCCCACTGCCTTATCCCTTCCCTTCCCAGGTAGCAGCAGCAACTCATCCATCAGGAGATCAAGTGGGCACAGCCACTTCACCATGCCATCAGCTACTGTCTAATTTGCAGCCTATCCTATCTCCAAGGATAGTTAAAAGGACAAAATAGAAGTGGCAACACATTATATGGTACAATGAGCTTCTTGGAGGAAGAGCATGCTAAAAAATGCCTTTGTTAGTGGGAGGCATTCAAAAAAGTGCACAACCCTGTGAGAGAGGCAGGGAAGGGAAGATCTTCCTAGGTGGGAGGCTGGGAAAAGAAAGGGAAGCTCCCAGGTGAGTGTTGCGAGGGTCCAGCCCTTTGTGGGAGACAAGGATTAAGAGCTACTTTTGAGAGATGACTTTGCATTTTTTTCCATTTGGGTGAGTTTTTTTTTTTAATTGTATTATGAAAAAGCCTTAATAAAATTTTTGGGGTGGTACACAAAACTTACGTTCCAAAACTTTTTGTTTGTTTACAGTGCAGGCATTTCTGCACATTACTGCACATCATAATGGCAGTGCACAAATGCAAGGTGGTGTGTGTGTGTGTGTGTGTGTGTGTAACGGGCAATGAGCTCCTGCCCTTACTGACAGCACCATGGGCAAATCTGATTGGGTCTGTAGGGCTACCCTATTATTAACATACTGTTACCTAGTTTTGATGGGCAAATTGATGTATTTCTTAGCATGAAATAGATTTATCTTTGCCATGTTTAGAAGAAAAATGTTTTTGTTCAGTTGTTCATGAGGGGCAGGTCTTATATCTTGACTGGAAATTGCACAATGCACAAAAAGTATACATTACCTACAAAAGAAATACAAAACCTTTGATTCCTGAGTATGCTAAAACTGTCCAATATTAGAAGCTCTGGGGAAGGCAGGAGTATTTTTTGTAATAGGTTTTACATTTATTTTCTACCTATTGTTTTCCTCATGGCCAAAAAAGGTAAACTTGTAAGGCTGAGTTGGACAGCATTTTTCAATTAGAAATTATCTTCTTATTACCTTAAGACTAACCAGGCTTAATGGAGAGGCTTTTCTCATCTGTAACCTCACTGTGCAACTCATGCCTTAGTGTCAGAATGGAGTGGAAATAAGCAGCAGAAGGAATGCTTATTCAAAGATTTCTATCCTACCCTTGCAATGCATTCACTTTACTCAGTGTGGCTTATAACAATGAAAAATCTTTCAAATCCTATTATATATAAAATCATACAAAATTGAACCAGGCTCTGCAAATAGAAGCCCTAAATTGGGTTCACTGTAGGAAGACGGCATATGCCCAGTAATAGGGTTGCCATTTGCTGGACATAGCTGGTCTTCAGCCTTTGTAAACAGGGTCAGGGCAGAAATTGCTGAAATGTCCAGGAAAATCTGGACATATGGCATCCCATGTCAGAAGTGTAATTTCATTACAAATAGCTCAAAACCTTTTTTACTTTTTTAGAATTCCCTCCCAAAAAGCTAAACAACTGGCCAACTGGAGCGGCAGCGGAGCTGGCGTGGAGCCGGACAGCTGAGCTTGAGAGAGAGCGTGCCCCCGACGGCTGGGAATGGCAGAAGTCAAATTGTGTTTTTTTCTGCTACATTCTCAAACATCCAGGGGAGCGAACTGCACCCTGCCCCTTGGGCACGCGCTGGCTCTGCACTGCCTCCCTCCTCCTCCGCTGTAGGGCGGCTGAGTGGGAGGGGGCAAGCAGACTTGGGAGGCCCTGCAGTGCGCCCCGCCCCTGCAAGGAGCTCAGAGATAGCACCCAGGGTGGGCTGAGAGGAGCAGCCACCATTACACAGCTTGCCTCACTGTTTGATGTTTAAAATATTTATTTCTTAATTTTGGGCTCAAAAAATAGGGGTCATCTTATACTTGAGGGCAGCTTATAGATGGAAAAATACGGTAGTTTCCCACTTGGGAAATATTTGCACAAAGTTCCTGGTAGTACACTGGTTCAGGTTCTTTCATGATCAGTTCCTTAGTTCATGTAACAATCACAATCTATCACACAGTAATCTAAAATAAGAACATTCCACAAGCAAACACCATTAAATAAGTGCAGCTTGAAAGTGCTTGCAGCAGTGCCTGCAAATCCCACTTTTGGCTTTGCTGCACCTTACCTGCCCCATTCCTGATATTATGTATGATATCATATCATGTATGATATGTAGCTTGGGGCGGGACTGGTGGGCCATTGTTCACAAGTACATATATTCCCCTGAAATGTGTAGACAGATCCCCCACACAACTGAAATAAAATTCCTTTTTGGTGCATGTGCACAAAAGCAAGCTGCATCCATGCACATGTCTCACACACGCAGCAATGTCTGAAGATTCATAGATATTCCTCAGTGTCTTAAATAAAAGAAAACAACACTGAGGATTGAGCAGCCAGTCCTACTGCCAGCAAAGCAACTGTACTTAGCTTTTCTCAAGTACACTGTTTTAAGAGGCTTTTATAGTGCTTTATTGGTAAATGTAAATCATGAGAACAATCATGGGCATTTGTATGAGCATCTGTTAAAACAATAATGATGCTTACGGTGCGATTTACAGACCACTTACATTGATGTAGTCCCATTGTCTTCTGTGGGACTGTTCCAGTCCTAAGTGATCTGTGAATCATCCCTTTAGTGGTTTTAATGTGCAAAAGCTATGCATAGTGTTAATTAATAAAGGCAGTATCTAGCAGCAAACACAAGCAGAATTTGAAACAGACGTAAGGTAGAAATACACTGATCTGAGACAATGGGAGTTAGGTACATATTTAAAGGTAAAGGGATGCCTGACCGTTAGGTCCAGTCATGGTAAAGGTAAAGGGACCCCTGACCATTAGGTCCAGTCGTGACCGACTCTGGGGTTGAGGCACTCATCTCACTTTATTGGCCGAGGGAGCCGGCGTAGAGCTTCCAGGTCATGTGGCCAGCATGACTAAGCAGCTTCTGGCGAACCAGAGCAGCGCACGGAAACACCGTTTACCTTCCCGCCAGAGCTGTACCTATTTATCTACTTGCACTGGTGTGCTTTCAAACTGCTAGGTTGGCAGGAGAAGGGACCGAGCAACAGGAGCTCACCCCGTCGCGGGGATTTGAACCGCCAACCTTCTGATCGGCAAGTCCTAGGCTCTATGGTTTAACCCACAGCGCCACCCATGTCCCTTGTCCAGTCGCGGATGTATTAGTAATTTCAAATGAATGAGAGCATAAGAAACAATCTCTAGACTGAGCCCAGAAGATAGAAGTAAGATAAGTTTGATGATTCTTGATTGCTATTATACAGCTCAGCAGTGTGTGACCTACAAATTGAGGGGGTTAAAAATTTGGGGGGACAAAAGTGGGTATTTGAGATTTTGGGGATTTAGATAGACCCTTCTCCTTTCTTGCAATGTTTTCCTATAGCCAATGGACATGAATCAGCACTGAGAAGAACATCCCAGATTCCCTATTTTGCCCACAGTTCCTTAAAAAAGACACAGGCAAATTTAGTTTAGCAGACATAGGATAAATCAGGTCCTTTTATGGATCAGTAACTAGTTAAGGAACAGGAAGCAGAGCATAGGTGCAGTGGTTAGAGTGCTGGACAAGGACCTGGGAGGCCAAGGTTCAAAGCTGATGCACAGCCATACTGAATGGGCCCCTTGGAGAAGGATCATAGCTCAGTGATAGAGGATATTTTGCATGTTAAAGCTTCCAATACCTGGCCTCTCCAGGTAGGACTGGAGATGTTCCTGTCTTCTTGCATTTCTCTGCAAGTGCAGATGCAGGTGTGACCTACCTACATAGCAACACAGGAAGGTGCCTTATAGCAAATCAAACCATTGGTTTATCCAGCTCATTATTGCAGCAGCTCCCCAAGGTTTAAAATAGAAATCCAAACACACTTCCCACCATTTTTCACAGAACGTTTGTGTAAAAATTAAATAATTCTTACCATAATCTCCAAGAACAATACAATCCTTGAATCTTTAGGCTGCAAGTGCAATACTTGTAGACTGTATCATGGATAGAACATTTTATTATAGAAAATTGGAATTAATGGTGACCCCAGAGGATTTAATCAATTCTTTAATGAATCCCAATTATCTTGAAGTAATTATTGAATTAGGTTTAATTTATGAAGTATAATCTCTCTCGCCTAATCAAACAAGAGCTCATAACGGTATTGAGATATCAACTTGTTTGACTAAAATAGTAGTGGAATATCAGCTTGTTCAGGCTCCTTGAGAAAATTTAAATAATTCAGCCAGTTGTGACGCTTGATAATATAATGTTTGAAAGTGCCATGCTACTTGTTCACTCAGTTTAAATGAAGATTTCCCCTTTTATTTCAACATTGAGTTGTCTTGTAGGTGTTCTGACTGATAAAGGATATACATAATAGGATATACACATAGTAAGATTTACTGTTAATCTTTTCCAGTTTCCTAGCTCCTATAAACTTTAGAGCCTGTAAAAGTAGAACACCAAACTACGAGTTTAGTGTTCCATCAAAAAGATATGCTAATATAGTGTTCCAAACAGAACTATCCTGTGCATGCTTACTTGGAAGTGAGTCTTGCTGTGTTCAGTGGGGCTTACTGCCAGGTGAGCATACCTAGGAATATAGCCCTGTTACGCTGGAGTAAGCCACACTTGGCTGTAAATTACAGATATGGACCAGGAAATCTGTTGTTCCAAATCTTTCTTCTGCAGTGTGCTAAGTGGATGGCCTTAGGCAAGTCTCTCTCTCTCTCTCCACACGCACACACACACACACACACACACACACACCTCTGGCCATAATGGGGTTAATGATGTCTCTTATCAAGTTGTTGCAATCATAATTATTATTGTTCATTAAATTTGCATACCGCCCTTCATCCGAAGATCTCAGGGCAGTTCACAGCATAAAAATACAATATAAAAGTACAAAATACATAAGAATAAAAACAAAGCAAGCCAATAGACCATGATAAGTTTTATTTTCTCCCTGCCCCCTGCCACCGGCCAAACTGCCACTACACAACAACCAGAGAAAGTTGGGGGTGCTTAAAAGACTGTGTTTTACCTAGGCTGTGTACATACAGTTGAGGGATTTCTTTGTCATGCAAACAGTTTGGTGGAGCTACTATCATTCTTACTAAATCAGAACCTGACCGTTTGCATGTAAAGCCTGATATATGTAGATAAAATTAGCATATAAATCAAAATCTAATTAACGTGGTGTTAGCAGCAACTGCATGGCTAGTGTTCAGGGTATTGTTGTTATTTAATATGAGACCAAGCATTAAACAAAAGCCTTAATTAGAAAACAAAAATCATTTAGGAACCCCATGCAATCCATCATCCAAAGAATGTTAATCATTTAACATTGGACATTTTCTGCTTTGATCCTCAGATCCTGCAAGCCAGCATTTCCTGAGGGGTTTACAGAGACTTTCAGGTCAATCTGAGGGTTCATTGTTTCCTAGATATGTCTGGGGGAAATGATCTCTTACTAAGGCCATGCAATGTACAAACGTTATGAAGTAAAAGAATGTGACAAGGATACAGACACATATATATTATTGCATTAGCCAGACTCTGACCGTTTTGGCAGAGTTTCCATAATGCCTACTAAAATTGTGTTAGATCAAAAGGTTATGGTTTCCAGGCTCAGCTAATATGAGATGTGTATTAGAAAGCACTTTAGCACTCTTTGTATTGCTTGGCCTTTGATTAAAGGACTGACTACAAGTTGTAAAGTAGCCAGGCTCCGATTCTTGAGAACTCTGAAGGCGCCCTCCAGACAGTCAACACTAGAAGAATGCTTGGAAGTTTTTGCTTGGCCAGCCTCATCTTGCTGAAAGAAAAAGAAATGATGGTATCCAAAAAGCTTTCATCTCTTAGCATCTTGCTCAGCTAATTCCCCCCCCCCTTTTTTTGTTATTAAAGTTGCAATCCTACCCTTAAAAAGTATGGCGTGAAACTCTTTATTTTCTGAGGGAGAGGGAAGCCCAACCCTTGGAAAGGAAGGTCTGATCAAGGAATCGTCTTTGCAGCAGCAGAGGAAAAGTCTGCTTGCTGCTTCTACAGTGAAGGTGAACAGTCATGGGGCAAAGAAGAGTGCTCTGGGGTTTGTGGCTGGGGCAAACTGGGTATGGATGGACCCTGAATGCCACCATCCTAATTCATTTGGCATGCCCTTGGAGGAGGAGAGATAGTCCATCGCCCCCAAGGCACCCTCTCAATGACAGTGATTAAAAAAAATAAAAAGACCCAGCAAGGCCTTGGATTTTGCCGTTTATCCACCACTACGCCTCTCTCCCCTGCCCAGTAGGATTGCTCTGAACTGTATAAAACTCTTCCTAACATTGATCCTGGGCTTATATGTTGTTGGCATCTGTCTGTCTCGGGAGACAATGGAGGAGTGTGCCTTTGTGGGTGAAGTCAAACTGTTGCAAAGTCACAGCATCTATGGAGGCCGATACAGGAGAGACATGTTTTGTTTTGTTGCAGCTGGAGAAAATGAAGGGGTCCACTTGTGCTGCTGCAGGTGCACCATGGCGTTTCTTGTCTCTGCTCTCCTCCCAATGGTCATTCCTCCTCTGGTCACCGCTATGGATGCACAACCTGTATGTCTCCAGGCACTACGGTCGTCTGCAAGAGATTCCCACACAGCGGGGTTGATGTTGCTAGCCTTCATGTCTCGGGCTTATTAACAATGTGGTTTAAAATAAAGCAGCAACGCCTACAATCCATAAGTTGGAGGTATTAAAACAATCACTAGCACAATACACACCTGTGAATTTGAATGTTAAAAAGCAACATTTTAAAAAATCCAGCGTTTTATAATATAGCATCCCCCCTATGCTATTTTAATTGATTAAAAAAATACCCGAGATAATAAAATGTATTTACCTGGTGCCTTAGTGATAGCAAGGCAGATGCCAGGCAAGCCTCCTTAGGGAGGGCATTGCACAACTAGGGCATCTTAGAAAATCTATGTTGTCATACCCCATCTCTCTGGTGGTGGTGGTGGTAGCAGCAGCAGCACTACTGAGAAGGGCAATCATGCTTAGGTAGGGAGAAGGCAGCCCTTGTGGTATGTCTGTCTCAAGGTGTGATGGTTTTAAAGGTCAAACCAACACTTTGAATTGGCATTGAATATAATTACAATATAATAATAATAATTTCAAACGCATCCATTCTTAAGGAAATCAGCCCTGAGTGCTCACTGGAAGGACAGATCGTGAAGCTGAGGCTCCAGTACTTTGGCCACCTCATGAGAAGAGAAGACTCCCTGGAGAAGACACTGATGCTGGGAAAGATGGAGGGCACAAGGAGAAGGGGGCGACAGAGGACGAGATGGTTGGATAGTGTTTTCGAGGTTACCAGCATGAGTTTGACCAAACTGCGGGAGGTAGTGGAGGACAGAGGTGCCTGGCGTGCTCTGGTCCATGGGGTCACGAAGAGTCGGACACGACTAAACGACTAAACAACAACAATAATAATTTATTATTTCTACCCTGCCCATCTGGCTGGGTTTCCCCAGCCACTCTGGGCAGCTTTCAACAGAACATTAAAAACAGAATAAACTTCAAACATTAAAAACTCCCCTAAACAGGGCTGCCTTCAAATGTCTTCTAAAAGTTGGATAGTTGTTTATTTCCTTATTTCCCTTTATCTGATGGGAGGGCGTTCCACAGGGCAGGCGCCACTACCAAGAAAGCACTCTGCCTGGTTCCCTGTAACCTCACTTCTCGCAACTGCCAGAAGGCCCTCGGCACTGGATCTCTGTGTCTGGGCTGAACGATGGGGGTGGAGACACTCCTTCAGGTATACTGGACCAAGACCATTTAGGTCAGCACCAACACTTTGAATTGTGCTCGGAAACGTACTGGGAGCCAATGTGGGTCTTTCAGGACCGGTGTTATGTGGTCTCGGTGGCCGCTCCCAGTAACCAGTCTAGCTGCTGCATTCTGGATTAGTTGCAGTTTCCGGGTCACCTTCAAAGGTAGTCCCACATAGAGCGCATTGCAGTAGTCCAAGCGAGAGATAACCAGAGCATGTACCACTCTCACAAAACAGTCCGCGGGCAGGTAGGGTCTCAGCCTGCGTACCAGATGGAGCTGGTAGACAGCTGCCCTAGACACAGAATTGACCTGCGCCTCCATGGACGGCTGTGAGTCCAAAATGACTCCCAGGCTGCGCACCTGGTCCTTCAGGGGCACAGTTGTCCCATTCAGGACCAGGGAGTCCCACCCACCCACCCGCCCTCTGTCCCCCCAAAACAGTACTTCTGTCTTGTCGGGATTCAACCTCAATCTGTTAGCCACCATCCATCCTCCAAATAAACCAACAATAATTGTAAATATCTCAAAACTGTCATGATGCGTTCCCATCTGTCCTATTCTGGCCAGACTCTCAGCTTCCAGGCAAAGTAGATGGCAACAACACGATCTACTGGTGGGGCAGCATAATAGCAAGACAGGCTCATTTCCAATAGGGTCAGGCCAGGCAGAGTTACATCTGGTAAGATCAGGTCAAGGAAGGTAAGGCAGAGTCTGTTTTGGGCAAGGCATCAGTAGTCAGGACCTTGGACAGAGCATTGTAAGAAAGCTGGCTGGAGTATTTTCACACATGGAAGAAGAGTTGTTGCATCAGTGAGATGCACAGGCCTTGGAAGCCTTCTGAAGGCTATCCAGTTTATTCCTACTATTGGCCTTACCCTCTTGAGGTCTGTGCCCTTAAAAGGTCACTGCCTTGCTCTAGAGGAGTTGGCTCCTGCTTCGTGGAAGTGGATCTGGAAGAACTTGGAGCAGAGGACAATAATGACTCAACTCCTGATTCAACTCTATTCATGTCCTCCTTTGTGCTTCAGTGTGAGTCAAGACTAGGGCACATGACACCAGCAAACAGCCTCAGGCAAATTGCAGCATTTTAAACTTCTGAACTGTCTTCAAGGGAAGCGCAATGTCTAGCACATTGCAGTCGTCTCAAAGAGCTGTCACCAGACTGTTGCCAAACTATCCCTGTCTAGTAGAGGTCCCAGTTGGAATCCCAGTCTAAGCTGGTAGAAAGCACCTTGTGCCACTGAGGACACCTAAATCTCAATCAACAAAACCAGATCAAGAAGTATTCCCAGGTGGCAAACCTGATCTTTCAGACAGGGTTCAGTCCCATCCCACAAAGGATGAATTCCTTTCCCCTTACAAGACTGGAGAGCCATTCACCAATAGTACATCTGTTTCAGTTTACTGACCCTCATCCAGCCCTTTATCAAGCTCAGACAATGTTCCAAATTTTCTACAACTGCACCTGATTTTCTACAAATCCACCATGGAGAAATAAAGCTGACTGCCACCAGGATGCTGCTGACACCTAACTCCAAATCCTGAGCTGACCTCCTGCAGCAGCTTCATCAATATGTGAAATACCACGGGGGTCAAGATGGAACTCAGGAAGTGCAGCTAAAAGCCCACTGCCCAGTATCATTTACTCCTTTCTCAACACAATGCCACCAAGCTTTCATTATGGAAGGCACCTTCACTGCTGTAGACTTTTGTATTTGTACCGAAAACAATTTTGCTCCTATTTTGTGATCTGGACATAACAATTAACTTGCAACCTGGTGACAGGATCTCTGGATTCTTAGATGGGAATAGCTATGCAGCTCTTTGGTGGGCAACCTGAAGGAACTTCAGAAACAGCTTAGTACTTGTAATTCCATTGGGTCTGGTTTCACTAGCTCCGAGTTGAAGCTATGAATAATTGATTAAAATATAATTTTGCAGTTTGGTTTGGGAAAGGGGGAACAGCAGAAGCCTCGGAGCAAAGGAATTACATGCACTTTACATGCATTTGGACTCTGCTGTTGAACAAAAACTGCACTTCAAGAGAGGCCTCATTACATGGGCACAATGTACATGGCCCATCTGAGATACAAGAGCAGCTTCTGTCTCAGTTCTGAATTTCACAGGGAAGTACAAACATGCATGGAGAGAGTGAATCTGTGACAAATGGAACTTCAAAGAAAATGTTCATGCTGCTAACAGTCAATGAAAAAAGAAAGAGGAGCTTGGCTCATACCTGTTTTACTGCTGCATTTTTCTGAGCCCAGATATAAGGCAACTTGCCTCGCTTCTGAGACACAATGTAATAATAACAACAAGTTAGCTTGAGATTATTATTATTATTCAAATAAATGCCCACTGCAGAATAACTTGGCAGGCACAGTTAAGACCATTCACTACCAACTGGCTTTTCTGCACCAACAGATTAATTCTTATTACAAATATAGTCCTGAACATTCTTGAGAATACATTTTCAGTTGGAATAAACCTCTTATAGTAGATAAAACATAATAGACCTGGGGGAGGGGTGGAAGAGAGAACTAAAAGACTACATTAGATGTTGCAATAACCTCAAATATTGGGGGGGGAATGACAACAAAACCTAGCTTTGGAAGTAGATTTAGGGCACAATTCAACCCTACCCTCTTCCTCTCTCACACACACAGAAGGGCTGAATGTAGTGACTGCATGGCAGATGGGGCAGAAGGTGGGGGTCAGGCAGATTGGCTCAGAGATCAGGTTCAGATCAGGCCCAATGCCATTACATGAATGCAGTGAAACCCATTGACCCCGGGCTGGCTCAGCTCCTCCCTACTCTTGGAATGCCCCATTTTGGAGCTTTCTGCTTGTGCCACCAGTGGGAATCCTGCCTATTGCCCCCAAGCGGCCAGAGGGAAGGGAGCTTAGCCAGGAAAGCTAGATGGAAGGACATCTCCACTAAATCCACCTCTACCCAAGCCTAGCATGAGCAGGGGGTGGATTGCTCTGTTAGCGTCTGGAAATACAAAACAATCCACAAAGTACTCAACTCAGAAACAGGAGTTGCTTTAAACTTCCTAAAGGATAAATTAAAGTTTAATTTAGCCGCCCCAGTCCATCATAAAGTAGACTTCCCTTGAAAGTTGTTGCCAGCCAACAGCTCCCACTAAAGTCACCTGTGGCAAGGGAGTAGGACTGATCAACCCATGATAATGTGGCCCAGGAATTTGGGTAAAGCAGAAAATAATTTAATTAATTATTTGCATGTTGGGGGAAAAGGCTTGGAGTGAGTTATTCCACTGATATTTAAAGTTCAAAAGTGCAATTCCCTAAATTGGCACAATTTATCACATTAGGCTCAAAGAAATTAAGCTTGTGGGCTTGATGGATGTCTCTCTTAGTTTTGAACACACAATTATAGTCAAGGTCCTTTATCGCCATACTGCCATTTAGCTGATACATTGATGGTCAAATAGTGTATCCTGCTGTAGGAAATTGTTGTCAACACTTCCAGTATCTGACATATATTTTGCTATTAGGGCTTTTGGCCTTCGTGGCTTTGTATTCATGGATGTTTTTCTGACACTTCAGATAATGCAAGGCAGTCTATCATGCCTGGAACAAGTGAGCTATTTTGGTTACTTAGACCTAGGAGAATAAAGTAAGGGCTAAGCTGAAAATCCAGTTTTTTCAAAGACCCAGGTCTATAAAATTGAAATGGGAAACATTAAACACTCCTTGTTTGAGGTTCCTTTAAGAGGGAGGCTAGGATATATTTCATCTCTTGCTTGGTTTATCCATTATTGCCCACCCTGACTGAAGTACAAACTCTTGAGACTGAGGGGGCTTCCTGTTGGCCTCTTTATATAGCATTTATTCTGATTTGTTTGCAGGGCGGTTAGATGATGTGGCATCAAATGAATCATTACCCCACACTTACCTGTACATTTGCTCATCACTTTCCTTGAAAGTCCAGAAAGTCTTATTTTTTAGCTTTGTTGCACAACCTGAATTTGCCAGGATGTGATTGAATCCCACCCCAAAATAGCAACAGTCTGCATGTGCCCTGAAACAGAGAGATGAGAAACATCTGAACCCACCATTCAATTAGTCCCTTTCTGCTTTGTTCCTTCCCCCATTGTCCTCCCTGTGATTGGACAAAGGTTGTGTGCATGCATCCATGGAATGGATAATCCTTAATGCTGTTATTTCTTATGGATTTCATAAGCATATATTTTTCTGCATTTTAGAATTTTTATCTCACCACAACTGACATTAAAAAAAAAAAGTTTTCTCAAGGTATGTTGGTCTTCTTGTGAAATATATATAGTCATCACAGCAGCAGAATCCCTGTTCAGTCTTTGCAGAAGCAAAAGTCAGGGGTATAATGGGACCCATGCAGCTGATCCAAAGAGATGTGGCTTTTTGGTAGCAGTTCTGCCTCCCTTCCCACTCCTATCCAGCTCTATTTTCCATCATGAAAAAGAGCCAGTGTGGTGTAGTGGTTAAGAGCGGTGGACTCATAATCTGGTGAACCGGGTTCGCGTCCCCGCTCCTCCACATGCAGCTGCTGAGTGACCTTGGGCTAGTCACACTTCTCTGAAGTCTCTCAGCCTCACTCACCTCACAGAGTGTTTGTTGTGGGGGAGGAAGGGAAAGGAGATTGTTAGCTGCTTTGAGACTCCTTAGGGCAGTGATAAAGCGGGATATCAAAACCAAATTCTGCTTCTGGTTTGCAATGCTGGGGTAACTGTGACAGCCACTGCACTAATAATGGCAGATATGGCTCAGCCCAAAACACTGGGCCAAGGACACAAGTTGCCTCCTTTTGACCGAGTTGAAGTCATTATATTTGGTCATATGAATGTTGAAAGACTCAAGACAGACAAAAGAAACTACTTCTTCATGCAGCACAGAGTTAAACTATAGAACCCACAGAGGGCTTTAAAAGAGGATTAGACAATTTCAGGGAGGATAAGGCTATCAGTAGCTACTAGCCATGATGGCTGCGCTCTGCATCCACAGTTGAAAGCAGCAATGCTTCCGAATACCAGTTTCTGGAAACCACAAATCCTGTTTGTGGGTTTCCCACAAGTCTCTGGTTGGCCACAGTTTCTTTTTATGTCCTCATGTGGCAGCACATCAGTACAACTGACTCAACTGCATTTTTATACTACAGTATAGTCTAAGAACAAAAGCTTTACAGAGCATGCACGGAAAATCTCCTGGTTTTTTGTTCCTCTGAAATGGACCAGTCCCTCAGATTCTCAATTTCACCCATGTGCATCAGTAAATGTTTCCTCGTAAGTGATTTGGGAGCCAAGGCATCAGAGACCTGAAGTCAACATGCTTAAGAATGTTTTGACTGGGTTTTGACTGGGTTTGCAACCTCAAAATGGAAAACACAATAAAATTTTTATTCCCAAAACTCAAGCCACCATGACCTGACAAACATTGTATTCACCTAATAGCTTCCATCAATCTGCGCTGTTTTCAAATTAGCCTCTGTGACCTTTTCCATTCCTGAATGCTGTTGCAACTGTAGGGCAACATCCTGCAAATTTGCTACCCAAGTCCATGGAAACAATGTTTATTGAATTACACTGGCTTTTGCACTGGGAAAGAATGAATCAGCTGAACTGCAGAATGATTTTTGTTTCTGCTAATACAAGACCTATAATTAAAATAATCTTGTTATCATCTATGCAGTTGATTTTTAAATAAGTATATATTCATTTTGAATATATCTCTTATCACTTTGAAACATCTGCATGTGGCCCTCAGCAAGCAGTTATATCCCAAAATCTTGTGAATGATTTTAACTTCACAAAATATTAAAATATTAAGAGGGGTCTGTGTGGTTATAATGCCCTTCATAGAATACTGATCTGATACTAAAGCTTGATAAAGATGGAAAATTAACCTTTTGATTATTTTATTGGAAATCTGGCCGTTATGTATTTTTTTCTCCAAAAACAGTAAATCATATGCTTAAGTAGGCAGCATAGCACTTGAGTTACAAATTCTGATTTAGAAATAACTGAAATCTGAATTTTGTTTTCCCTCCCCTCTCCCTTGTGGATTTTATTCCAAAACAAAGCCATGGCTATAACAAAAGCAGAAACCACAATTTTCTGGAAATCACGATTTCTATTCTGAAATCTTTCTAGTTTATAATCCCAGATACGTTTAGTCATTGGTGAGGGAAATGCACTCCAAACATGTTCAGGGAGAGCCTGTTATTATTCTACATCTACCGCAACAGAGCCCTGGCATTTGTAACAGATTCCTGGACATAGCCCTAGGGAGTCCTGGCCGAAAACCCCCAGAGAAGTCACTTAATACCTAAAATGGTATAACGTGTACAATAAAGCAAAAGGCATGAGATTCATTGCTTTCACTTTAGCTTAGATTGATAGGCTGCACCTTTTTGCCTGCTGCGTCGTGTATGAGACAATGTGCAAGAGTACGATGAGTGAGTTAGCTGAGGAAGACTATTGTGCCTATTGACCTGAGACAGTCTCCTGGAAATAATCTTAACAGCAGGGAGCAGAGAATCCTTTTTAAAATCAATAGAGCAAGAAAACGCTGTTGACTAAGTGTCTCTCTCTCTCTCTCTGTGTGTGTGTGTGTGTGTTTAAAGGAAGGTGTGGAGGGGAGGTAAGGAAGAAACAAGGAAGAGCGTTCCTTTAATGCTAACGTTAATAATTTCTCTGATCTATCCCTTTTTACACTATTTCTGCTGGTAAGAAACAGTTATCCTGAAAAAGGCATTCGTATATGTGAGTGTTGCACATGCACACACACCCTTCCCAGGCTCTATAAGGTGAACTATTTGCCTACCTAAGAGCAGAGCATTCTTAGCCTGCCATAATACAGCAAGAACACTTGTTCCTGCTATGTAGGCAAGGTATAAAAGGTAAAGGTAAAGGGACCCCTGACCATTAGGTCCAGTCGTGACCGACTCTGGGGTTGTGGCGCTCATCTCGCTTTATTGGCCAAGGGAGCCGGCATACAGCCTCCGGGTCATGTGGCCAGCATGACTAAGCCGCTTCTGGCGAACCAGAGCAGCGCACGGAAATGCCGTTTACCTTCCTGCCAGAGCGGTACCTATTTATCTACTTGCACTTTGACATGCTTTCGAACTGCTAGGTTGGCAGGAGCAGGGACCGAGCAATGGGAGCTCACCCCATCGCGGGGATTCGAACCACCAACCTTCTGATCGGCAAGTCCTAGGTTCTGTGGTTTAACCCACAGCGCCAACCCTTCCCAAAATGAACACAGACAGTTTTATGGAGTAGTTTTCTACCTCAAGGTGACTTCCAATTCATCTTCAGGTTGTAGAATGTCTCAGACAAGGCCACACATGCTGAAGCAAGAGAAGAGTACTTTAATCTGCTTCCAGGAATCAGCATTTGTTTGAAAACCATATGGAACATTCCCCCTCCCCAGTACTTTAAGTCTTGAAGAGAAACTCAGGAACAGGCATAAACTGGTTGAGGAGGTTTTTTTCTCCACCCCTAGCCAAACTCAAACGTGTGTCAGATTGGTCATGCATCCCAGAAATGAAGCTATGTGTGGTATGTCACAAGAACACTAATTCTGGATCAGCTTCCACTTGAAAAACTGCATGGGATCTTTCTTTTACCCCAATATGTGGAGCAAGATACCAAGAACCAATAGATTTCATGAGACGTGTTTTGCCCTGGTGTCTTTTCCAATTTGTGTTCTGTAAGCAAATGGATGAAAATTTGGGGACTTTGTTTTCAACAATTGTGCAGGGACTACATCCTAGAAGGGCTACTTTAGTGTCAGTTCTGCAGTGAAATGGGACCCCAGGGTGTATTTCAACCCCATACTGCTTGTGCATCAAACTTACATGCACGGGAGCAAAGCATAGCCAGGGTACGGGCTCTGTTGCCATCCTCACTGACTTCGAATTCATGGAGGGTGAAGACCTAAAGCAGGGAGGCTCCCTGTGAGATTTAGGACCCTACATAATTGGGGTTCTATATTGTATGAGGAAGCTATGTGGGTACAGCAGGCTCCCAGATTCCCAACTTCACCCTGTGAATTGGAGGGCAATAGGGTTATGATGCTCAATGCACCCATTCCTGCTCTCTCTTCTCATGTGTAAATTTAACATATGAGGAAGTTCCAAAATAAGGGGCAGTTGGGTAGGAAACCTATGCCAAAGTCCTATAGAGTTATCTATATAGGTGCAGCTGAATCCAGCTTCAGGAAAGGCATAGTGATTATTTTGGTACATATACATGCAGAAGAGCAACATGAAATTACAGTAAGAGGCGAATAAACTCTTCTGCTACATGACTACACTGAGTATTCAATGTTTAAGCTATCGTCCCCACAGTACTACAGAATGTAGAGTTAGTGCTAACAATGGTTGTTACAAGTAAGGTTTATCTTCTTTTATGGCTTTAACCTTGTATACCACTCTGGTAATGGTTGGTGGTTTATAAATATATACAGTAAATCAAATCAAATAAATAGCACATTTTCTAAAGAAAGTTTTAATTCAAATGCAAACTATGTGCTAAAAATCTGGCCATTTCCAACAATCTGTATATGGTCAAATAACTTCAAAATGTCAGTAGCTTAAAAGTGTGTGAGTATGGAACTTTAAATATAAAACACAAAAAACAAGTACAAAAATGAACCCAAAGGTTAATATATTCAGATAGCTGTAAGTGCATGAAACAGATGATTTGAACAGAAGTGCCTCTTCATACATAACTCCAGTGTCACTAACATAAAGCTATAATCTTCTTTTTTCCCTGTGTTCTGACTATTATTGAAGTGCTAAGTGTCAGGTGGGAAGGTGTAATGCAAGAATCTTCACTGGAGTGGAAATTGCTCATCTTATGATATGTAGTAGTGTAACAAACAATGGAAGTTTTTGTCACTGATTTCAACTGATCCTCCATTTATTGCTGCTTTGACAGCCTTTTAAGGAGATGGACTGTGAAATGAAATCTCACTTTCACACTCTTGCTAATAGACTAGGAGTGCCTTTTCCCATCAGAAATGGCAGTTTCAGTGCCATAAAGGAAGGTTAGATGGAGGTCCTACAATGACAATTATTGAGAAAGTAGTGGTCGCTTGTGTTTCAGCTCCTTTAGTTTAGTATCTGGCTGCCTCAAACTGTGTTATAGAAAGTTTACTATTTGAGGACACCTAGTTCCTTGATGTTGCTAT